GGTGATGAGGGAGAGGCTGCGCCGGGGGACGGAGGAGGACTCCAAGTCGGTGCAGCAGTATGTGCCGGGGGTGCGGGTGGAGTTCCCGCGGCCTCTCAATTCCGCCAGTCTGCACCCGACCAGGGCCCTGCAGCCCTCCAGCACCGACCCGTCGGAGCAGCAACCAGGAGTCCCCACAGACAGGAACGGGGCAGAGCCCCAGGCCAACCTCACCACCGTGTCCGATAAGCGGCTGCAGATCCAGAACCCCCTGTACCCGGTGACAGAGAGCTCCTACAGCGCCTACGCTGTCATGTTCCTGTCCCTCATCGTCTTCGCGGTGGGCATCATTGGAAACCTCTCTGTGATGTGCATCGTGTGGCACAACTACTACATGAAGAGTGCCTGGAACTCCATCCTGGCCAGCCTGGCTTTCTGGGACTTCCTCATCCTCTTCTTCTGCCTGCCTGTGGTCATCTTCAATGAAATCACCAAGAAGAGGCTGCTGGGGGACGTGTCCTGTCGCATTGTGCCGTTCATGGAGGTAAGGGGCTGCACAGGGTCCTGGATGACTCAAGAACTCAATTTCTCTCTGCCCTCTTGCTCAGAGGCAGTCCATGCTGCTGGTAGCCTGGGACAAGGGCTGTGGGCCAGACACCCACATCGTGGGGCACAGCAAGGAGCTGGGGGAGAGTCTCAATAGTGACCTTCCCTTTGCCTCTGCCCCAGGCCATTCCTCAGGCTCTGCAGCCAACACCAACACTGCCAGGGCTGGGAAGAGCCTGTGAGACCCTCTGTTGACCAGCCAGCATGGGGACTTATGTCCACAGAGTACCTCCATCTGTCTGTTCCTGTCTCAGCCTGACCCCCCAGCCTGGGGGCTCAGCCCTGCAATGTGCTGGCCCAGCACTGGCTGCTGTGGGCGGCTGAGGGGGCTGCCCAGGGCAAGGGACTGCAGGGGGGCAGTGCTGGGAAGCACTGGGGTGGGAGAGCACAGGAATTAGGTTTGGGAACCTGAGATCTCTGTTTGGCCTCACGTGTGGCAGGTTGGCACCCACTGAAAAGACCATAGGGACTGTGGTGATAGGGAATGGGAGAGTGAGCAAAAATGCCCTGGATGGCACAATTTGGGGTGGTGCTGGAAAGAAACCCTCACTGTGGGCACCACCCATCCTCAGGAGAGCCTGGGGTCCAGGCTCTGTACGCTTGTGGGACAGACTGTTCCTCTGGGCGCAATGTCCAGTTTGTCAACGTGCAGACACAACGGTGCAAACACCTGGAAGAGCTCAGAGACAGCGTGAGGTCCCTGGAGACCCTCTCAGGCTTGGTAAGACCAAATAAGGTTCAGAACCTGCCCATCCCAGTGAGTGCCCACTCCTGGGGTCAGGGCACCCAGCACAACATATGGAATCCATGGCTGGTGCTGAAGAGCCCTGGGGTCCCTCACTCCCCCCAAACCCGATCAGGCTGTATGGAAGCACTGATTCCTCAGCACTCCTGCCTAGGTCAGTCCTGCCCTCCCAAGGCTGTCACCATACTGTCACCTGGCCTTCTGTCATCACCAGACCTGCCTGTGTCCATCACCAGGACTCTAGTCTGCTCAGAGAAATGACAGCTGGAGAGGACTGGAGGGGACAGAGAGCACCTGGATGGGGAAAGCTCATCTCTCAGGGAACTCAGTCATTACAAGCAAAGAAATGGCACCGAGACATTGATTTGTCCCATCACAACTCCCTCCCCAGCATTCCCCCTCACTGGCTCAGCTTCTGCCAGACAGCAGAACCCACAGGGCTTTGGGGTGCAGGACCTGCAGGGCTTTTGGGTGCAGGACTGGGTTGCACCCTGCTCCCTGAGGGGGGTTGACTTGTCCTTTCCTGCGGCACCTTACAGCAGCCGCAGACTGGGGAGACTCCAGCATGGGCTGCGGGTGTCGATGTGGGCTGTGAGGTGAACGGGTCTGAGACCACCACCAGGCACAGACACAAACCTGCATGGCACAGCCCAGCACGGGGATGTGGTGTTTGCTAGGAGAGCAGTGCAGCTCCACCCTGCTCCTCTCTGTCCCTGCCCAGCAGACAGGAGCTGTTCCTTTCCAGGTCTCCCACCACAGCCTAAATGGAGTGTTTGCCCATCCCTGTCCTCCACCTCAGGCCTCCAACACTGCAGCCAGGTGGACTCATAGAGGGGCAAGAATATGGACCCACATTTGCTCAAGCAGGCTCAGTACCCTGGGGAAGGATGAGAAGGGAAGGGTGATTTCCCCAAAGCAGACCCCATCCTGGGGAACATCTGTCATGGCCTGTCCCTGAGCCTCTCATGGGTTCTTTGTCGCTGTCCCTGTGGGAGAACCCTGAGGGTGGTAACTCCAGGCACAGGAATGCAGGCAGCACCAGGGACACCCTGGGACAGCTTAGTCTCAGAAGAGGCAGGAAGGGTCCGTGGGATGTTGGTGCTGCTGAAGGACAAGCATGGCACAGCCCGGAAGGCATGGTCCTGGTGTGCGGGCTACTCCTGCTCTGTCCCCCCAGCACACAGCCCTGTGCTGCCCTCCTACTCCCCAAAGCATGGACAGGATGGGGCTTCAGGGCTTCACCTGGGAATCAGCCACAGGGAGCCTGGATGGGAGCCATGACCAGGCCAAAGCCAAATCCCTAGCAAAGGATCAGCCACCAGAGAACACATCTGCAGGACAAAGGCTCATGTCTAGGGGGGCTGTAAACCGCTTAGGCTGCTGGACGGACCCTGTGAGGCGCAAATCTCCTGCCCTCACTTTGTAGCTGCTGCAATGCCCTGGGGGTGGGCACAGAGCCAGGTTTTGTGAGCTGAGCTGGTTACACAGGCTCCCAGGGACAGGCTGTATGCAGGGATGTTCTGGGCTGACCAGTGGCACCAGCTGCATCCCTGCCAGGGCAGTGGAGAAGGATCCTCTGCAGAACCAAGGGGACCAGAAGAGACAGAAGAGCCCGTGGGAGGGTGTAGAGGGACACGAGACAGCAGAACAGCAATGCCAAAGGCTGCAGGTGCCAGCCAGGGAGCTGGGCCAGTGTGCTGGGTGCTGGCTGTCAGGCAGAGCAGAGTGCTGGGTGGCCAGGGTGGCTCTGGGCTTTGGGCAGAGGAGCTGGGATATGCTGGCAGATGGTGCTGGGTGCAGGATGCTGTTGCTGGGCTGGTGCCCTGATGCTAGCTCTGGGGAGATGCTGCTGTGCATAACTGACAGTGCTGCTGGATGCTGGCATCACTCAGCTGATGCTGGCATCAGCTGCTGAAGGACCAGCCCAGGACCCTGGGGGTCAGGGGAGGGCAGTGTTCCAGGCTGCTTCCAGGGTGCCACATGGAGCCCAGTGAGGTTTCCTGAGGGTTGGGAATGTTTTTCCCTGATGCTAGCTCTGGGGAGATGCTGCTGTGCATAACTGACAGTGCTGCTGGATGCTGGCATCACTCAGCTGATGCTGGCATCAGCTGCTGAAGGACCAGCCCAGGACCCTGGGGGTCAGGGGAGGGCAGTGTTCCAGGCTGCTTCCAGGGTGCCACATGGAGCCCAGTGAGGTTTCCTGAGGGTTGGGAATGTTTTTCAGCATAGGGTTTAATGGC